GGATTGTTGTATATGTTACCACTCGGCTAGTTGCCGAGGGCTTGCGCCTCTCACAAAGAGCAAATGCGGAGGGGTCTTGACTACCGGAGGTCATGGCGAGATCCACTGAAGTTACAGGGCAAATATTCGGGATTCTATTTCGTTAATGGAACGAACATTAATTTCCAGGAGTTTCAGTTTTGCAGTTTGACTGGCCAAGTTTGAAATGAGTACAGTACAATAAACAGGGTGTCGTCTGTAGGCATTTTCTCGCATTTGCATTGGTACGGGCAGAATTGATAAATGTGTATTTGCAGATGTGATTCCGGATGAGGAGACGGCACTGAAGACAGGCGGCCCGGCATGGCCTGGCCAACGCCAGCTGCCCCCAAATGTCACTAATCAAATTCAGGATTTAGGCGATGGACAGCAAATGGTTATTCGATTTTTCATTTCACTTAACCATCGCGAACATTCATTTTAAAGAACTCGGCGCGCCGTGTGTAGTAGAGAGAAGACATGCTATCTTTTCTAGGACATAAAAATGACAGTTTCGTTGTCGGTTTGCAACTGTTCGGACCTCACGCTGTAATTTGTGTTTTATCTGTTTCAGCTTCGTCGATATTGTTACAGCTCGCCACTGAAACGCTTACTTCTGTTTGTTCCTCAACGTCTTTGATGTGTAATATTAACTGGATTGTGCGAGCACAAATCTCTAGCGTGCATTTTCTTGCCAACAGGCCGGATTGAACGCGATGAGCTAAAGTCTTTTGGTTTTGAGAATAATTGAGCGAACCTCCTGTCCAGCTGCATCCGCATGTCCGTTCTGCTCGTTGCGGTTATTCCGTGTTTAGGATCAAATTTCACATTATGTTTGTCTTTTTTTGGACCACCAAATAAGTTGATATAACTTTTTCGTGGCTTTTTTTTTTAATAAATTAGTTATTAGCATCTCAGGAAGGTCATCACATCCAGCTCGCTTCTCGAGCAACCAACGAAAGAGGGAGCCATCAACAGCTTTGTTTTTGGCGTAGTGCATTTGGACTATTTGTGGACGCCACTTTATCTTATGAAAAACGAAGTGCGGAAGGGTTTTTACTGTTTTTAGTTTTAGAGGGCACTGTTCTGTTGTCTATCTCATATCGTACATAATATCAACTGTGTTATGAGAGAAGCTCTGAATTTTTGAAGGTTCGAAAAAAGTTGTTCGGAGGAACGGAAATCGTTTTGCGACGGATGGATGCGCGCGGTGCTCTTTGGCAGCCATTTTTCTGGGATCGAATCCATGCCGCATTTGACAAAACAGATGCTGCGGCTACTTTGAATTAACTCTTTGTTTCAGTAAATCCGGTCTATAGTGAATGCACACGTACACGTGAGACTTACGTGACACCAAACACAGAGATTGTGCAGTAACGAAGTGAGAATTTGGTGGGTCCACAACACGGTATCTCATCATCAGCACGGCCCTTCTCTATCACTGAGATACTTACATTTTCAAATTTCATCAAAAACTCAGCTTCCTTTTGCTTCAGAAATCTTGCTCTCCGATCGATAGCGAACCCTTTTCTTGCATTTTCGCGCACGTCCTTTACTCAGCCTCCTTCGCTTGAAGCACTGAACATGTTCTTTGTAAAACTAGTTGTATTTTGAAGGCGAGAATATCTGAAGCAAACCGATGTTCTGAGCTTAAAAATGTACAACACGTAGCACCCAATGTTTCACGACATCTTGATTAAATTGCCATGCTATTTTCAGTTGCTTACAGTGGACCCGACACTGGCGGCGCTTGGATTACCACCGTATCCGGCACTGAGCGCAAATACGGAGCCATCAAAAGTGGAAGAAATTCGTCGAACAATCTATGTTGGTAATATTCCGAAAGAATGCGACAGCGAAGAAATTATGCGATTTTTCAATGACAGCATTGGCGAAGTAAGCTCATTTTTCTCCTGCATTTCGCACCTCACCCAATTTATTCTTTATTTTTATCGGTTTTTTTGCATTTATCAGTTTTGAAACGTTTCATATGTTCACGTTGACACACACACACACACACACATGTGTAAATCCACATCAGCATCCCGGTCCTTTCGCATCAATTTCAATAATTTTTATATTTCCACACAAATACATTGGCTTTGCCTGCTTCCCTCATATACTTAGAGTAATTTTTTAGCATACATAAAAGCCAGAAGCATTGCGCCTTAGCATTTAAATACCTCCAAGATGGTAAACGGCCACTTGGACGGTCCTCGAGGAATGTCTAAGAAGTTGGAGGTACTGCTGTCCAGGGTCGAAGGGTGCAAGCGGGTAGGAGCATAACGGTAAAATCACTAGCCTGGAATATTCAGCAGATTGTTTGAACGGTTTTCTTTTTCTTGGTTTTGAATTTAGCGGTCTTTTCTGTTCTTTTCGTATTTCCTACATTAATTATCGTTATTATCAGTTTTGTCTTAGCGTGTTGAAACTGCTTTCTCAGATATTTTATTTGCTCATAGC